GTACAGGAGGGTGACGAAGTCCTGAGTGCTGAAGACGGTGTCAGCCAGGGCGAAGGCGAGCGTGGAGGGGATGAAGCCCCGGCCGTACTCCACCATCCAGGTGCCCGCGCTCCACTGCACCGACGTGGCCTCTCCTGCCTGGTGCACGATGGTGTCCCCTGCCAACACACACAACCAGCACGGCTCCCAGTAGCTGCCCCATGCTCTTCCCAAAGAGACGTGTCGGACTGGGACTTGCAGGGCTGAGCACTCCGACCTGCACACCCCAACCCCTCCCCAGTTCTTGCTCACTTTTCTCTTACTGGCACCCACTGTGATGCTGGGATATGCCCCAGGGGACACAAACTGCCCCATCGTGAGTCCTTAGCTTCTGCCAGCTGGAAGGAAGAGGCTCTGCGACACTGGAGCACCAGCCTGCAGAGCGGCCATGCCCGGGGACGTGGACGCAGCCCGCAGGGCGCCATGACTCCTGCACGTACCTGGATAGTAGATCTCACTTCTGGTGGTCCCCTCCTTCCACTGTCTGAAGGTCCCCGAGATGACGGTGTCGGAGATGTCCACCCAGTACCGACCTGTGGGAGGACAGACAGCACCAGCTTAGCGCGTCCCTGCCGGGGACGGCCTGGGAGCCCAGGTCTGAGCGACGGAGCCGCCCTCCGGGCAAAAGGACACCAGCCTCAGGGTCCCAACACACCGGGGAGCACAGCCGGGGTCCCCAGGCTGCCTGCGTGACTGGCCATACCCAGCAGCCCGAGCTACTCGGTGTCCTGAAGTCCCATCGTTTCCAGCGTGTTTGGCATTCACTCCCCGCCTGGCACCACGTGCCAGCTGGATGCGGAGAGTCCTGGCCACAGGACACGGGAGGTACAGGCACCTGCAGGCGCCGCAGGACACCTTGGGGGCTGGTCCCCACGCAGAGGGTGTTTCCCCGTCCCCCCCGACAAAGAGGCAGAGCAGTGGCCTCCGGCCCCTGGCTGCCAGGACAGCCAGACCCAAACAACTGGAGTGGAAAGAGCCCAGAGAAATCCCCCCCTCGCCCGCCAGCCCTGTCTCCCCGCTCACCCGAGTGGCCCCCGGTGTCGACAGCCGTCCCAAAGAGCAGCACGTACTCGGTGAGCGAGGCGTGCAGGAGGCACATAGAGCCCATCCACCCGCCCGCGTTCACGAACACCCACTGCAGGTCCTCATCGGGCAGGATGTGGCCTGGGTGCTTCTTCCGTAGTTCCACGATGATCTTGGAGAAAGCCAGCTCATGGTCCAGCCCTGCAGCAGCCAGGGTTGCTGTGAGTTCCTGGCACAGGGCAAGCCCTGACAACCCCCCAAAAACCCTTCCACAGCCACAGGGTCCCAGAACATCCATTGAGGGGTCTGCCTAGGGAAGATGTCTCCTCTCTCCAGCCTTCAGCCCCCGTGGAGGCTGACCCGGCCGCACTGACTCCCGGTATGGAGATGGACAACGTGTAGCACGGAGGGCTCCAGCCCTGCAGCCCACATCTGGTGCTGGGCTACGTGGGGACCCAAGCCAGGCGACAGCGACGCTGCCCTGGTGACACGCAGCCCCTCTGCTGCGACTGCCCACCCTGCACCCTACGGGGCCAGCCCTCCCCTCCAGCCCTGGCTGGGGGATCGGCTCTGCCCCTGACCCACCTGGGGCTTGGTCCCCCGACCCGGCCCAGCCCCAGCACGGGGAGAGCCGCCTTAACCCCCGCT